CAGCACACACATGACTCCCCACGAAACCTACAAAAGCTGTCAAACTAAGTTCTGGTTTGGTCGTTTGTTTCGTTTCCTCCCTCGTACTATTACTTTGTATCATTTTTCAAAGGTTGGTAGCTGGCAAACAGGAGTAATGTGTCAGGGATGGCAAGGAGAATAAGGTGGGGGGGGAATTGAAAATCGGGAAAATTGTATCCATTGCCTTGATGTTTAGAGGGAACGCAAGTAAAATTTGAGGCCTCATGTGGTCCAGTTAAAGAATAGTATCTCATCCAGGAAACCAGGAAAAGGGCACACATTTTTTTTCTTTTGTTTAGCTTTATTTTCAAATGATTTTATTTCCAAACATACAGAAAAGGTGCAAGAATACAACAAAAAACTTCCTCAAAGTCTTTACCCAGATACCCTTATTCAAGTTGCACCACATGTCCCTTCGGGCTCCTATAGCAGAAAAATCTCGTTGGGCACTCACGTTTTGTGTCTCCCTCGGTTCCTTCTGTCTTCCTTTGCCTCTCATGGCTTTTGCCTTCTTGAAGATGACAAGGTAGTGGGTGGCACCTGTGGCTCAAAGGCGTAGGGCACCGGCCCCATATACCAAAGATGGCAGGTTCAAACCCGGCCCCAGCCAAAAACTGCAAAAAAAAAAAAAAAAAAGATTACAGGGCAGTCATTTTGCATAATGTCTTTCAACTTGGGCGTGTGCAATGCTTTCTCATGATATGACCTAGGTTGGTATGTTTTGGGCAGGAACATCGCACAAGTGAGGCTGTGTTGTTCTCATGGCATCCTTTAGGGGGCACACATGGCAATTTGTCCCATTAATGGCAGTACTAATTTTATTTTTGTTATTTTTAAATTTTAATTACTTAATTAAGATGGTGTCTTCCAGCTTCTTCCTCTATAAATTCGCTTTTCCCCTTTGTGATAATTACGTGATGTGGAGACGCATCCCATTTCTCAACCCCTTACACCTTGTAGTTTTAGCATCTATTGATACTTCTTGCCCCAGTGAAGTATCTCTCTGGTGATTTCCAAATTCCGATTTTCTAATTCAAGCACTCCTCTTCTATTAATTACTTGGCATCTTACTGGAAGGAAGAGCTTTCTTATCTCCTCATATATTTGTTAATTCATTTACTGCTGACAATGTGGACTCATTGGTTTCTGTTAGTCAAAGGATTCTAAGGCAATTACTATTGTTACTCATTTTTGACCCACAAATTATCCCATATTTGACCAGTGAGAGTCTCTTCAAATGTCTTTTCTGTCCTTTTGACATGCACTTATCATTCTCTGACATTATTAGATACAAGGACTTTTGCTCCCATGATAACAAACTCGATCAGGAACTATGTACACATTTGCAAAGGGGAGACGGAAACATGTCACAGGGCTTTGGGGGCATGATTAAATATGTCGAGAAGTGTATAGACACATGATATTCAGGCTAATCTTGTGCTTTTCCTGCCTCGTTTTAAGAATCTGCCAATTTTCTAAGAGTTCTGGCGCCCTGCAGTGGTCAGCTGTATTTAGAAACCAAGATCTCGTCATAATGTGTCCTCATGGCCTCTGTGTGTATTGTTGCTCTCAGGCTACTGGAGTGGACGCAGTCAGGAATGACATGTCTGTACCAGTTACCTACATGCAGATATTCACATAGCATTTTTATCTATCTATTTCCGTATCTGTCTATCTATGTGCAAAATTTATACTATCTTCATTTCCAACCCCAAACCACGGGGCTCGTGTGAACTTTCCTTCTTTCCCTATTGTTCTAATTCGTATTCCTTCATCAGTGAGGAGCCTGACTCCCATTATCCTCAATATTATTTGCTTGTTTGTTCAGTCCCCTGTATGTAGCTAACCTGGTGGACATCGCCAGGCTGCCCGCCCCACACAGATCATCAGGACTGCCCCGTTGAGGTCTTTCTTGTGACTTTTGGACTGAATGAGGAAGGAAAGATGGATGGAAGGTAGAAAGGAGGAAAGGGAGATTCAGAAGGAAGAAAGGAAAGAAGTAATGCACTGTTTCTCCATGGAGGTATAATTAAATGTAGGCACAGATCTTAATGTTTAGTTTGATGAGTTTTGAAAATCGCACGTATCCAAGAAAAAAAAAAAAAAGAAAATTGCACGTATCCAAGTAACAATCATCTAAAATAAATACAAAATAGTCCCACCCTTCTAGAAGGTTTCCTCGTGCAAGGAAATTTGCATTATTAAAACCCCTCTCCCCATCCTCTCCTCTCCATGGCGATCACTCAATTTCCAGCTGTTGCCAAAAATACTCTCTTCTCAATTTTAACATTTCTTACCCCCTCACATTTTCTTTTCCTGATGTCCAACCTGTTTGGTTTTGCGCTCTCTTTCCCTGCCTGCCCCAGATCTTATTATACAGGGTGTCCATAAAGTTTGTGTGTAAAAGACCAACTTGGCCTTTCTTTTTTAAAAAAAAATACTTTTTTTCTCACAACTGCCTTCTGCCAAGAACTTGGTCCCTCTCAACTTCATCAGCTTTTTTTCTTCTCCACCTATCAAGAGAGTTCCCCACGATAAAGGAGGATCGGGGAGTTGTCCAGCAACAAGAGTCTTTCCCCTTAGAAGGACTGAAGGGGAAGGTCAGTCATTATTTGACATCAGTGAGAGCATACTTGTCTTCTTCTTATGGAACAGTGTTCATTGGGAACATGCTTTACAAATCACAGCCCAACACGAAGATTTCTCAGGCTGATGTGTCTCAAGGAACTTTAGACCTGTGGATATAAACCAAGACCACCCATCTGAGAACGAGTAGACAAGTAAATAAAATAACTAGGATCTTTATTTAGAGCTTGCTATAGCAAGAGAGTCAGCCAACATCCCTTGTATTTGGCAGAGACCCAAAATCAGGCAGGGGAGTGGGAAAACTTTATAACAGAAAAAGGGAGAAGGCTTCAAGTATGAGCTGATTTACGTTCCATATGGGGAAAATGGGTGGGGGCGCCCTAGAAGTGGGGCATCCACGTGATTGGTTAGAGAAATGTGTTTGGCTTTCTGTGATTGGTCGGAGTCAAGTGAACGTTGAGCCAGTGGTTTCCAAAGGCTGTGATTTGGCTTCCCGGACTGGTTGCTACAGAGTTAGTGGGTCAGAGTTCTATGTTCCTGCGTGGCCTGACCATTATCCATTTATATATTTGGTCCCTTAGATCAAAGATGTGGAAGAGAAGTATGGACTCAAGGAGGGTCCCCTCTGAGCCGTCCCAAGCAACATAATCGCTGTTGGCTTATTCTCTCTTCCTACTCAATGTTTTTTCCTTCATTTAGTCCCAACTCAATGAAACTTGATAATTAGAAATCGATCTAGACAGATCCAAGATGTACTAAGAATGGATGAACAAGACTTTGCATTGGCTGGACATGAGAGAAGATGGAGAATTCAATGACAGCTTCAAGGTTATACCTGGAGCTGCCAGAGGGGTCTTGTTGATAACTGCAGATAAAAGGGGCATCAGGGAGAAATCATCATTTTGTGAGAGAAAATGTTAAGCTAATTTTCGCTTTTTAAATTTTGTCTGTTTTTGAGAGAAGATCTCACTCTGTTGCCCATCCTGAAGTGCAGTGGCAGCATCATAGCTCACTACAGCCTCAAACTTCCAGGCTCAAGAAATCCTCTGCCTCAGCCTTTTGGGTAGCTGGGACTATGGGTACATGCCATTGCATGTGGATAATCAAAAAATAATATATATATATATATATATATTTTTTTTTTTGGAAAGATAAGGTCTAGCTGTGTTACCCAAGCTAGTCTCGACCTCTTGGCCTCAAGCAATCCTCCTGCCTCAGCCTCTCAAAGTTCTAGGATTATAGGTATGAGCCACTCTATTCTGCCCATTGAGCTAGGTTCTTAGGGCATTAAATTTGTAGGTGCCTCCTTGAAGATGTCCTTTAGAATTATACATCTGGAGCCTCGTTTTAGAGATGTGGAGACTAAGACAGAGAGAGTAGTGCTGGTTCTAAATTTATATACTGATAATGTGGGTTGAAACAGAAGCTTCAACCTGTGCTGCTCCATTTGCAATAAACAGAGAACAAAATACGGAGAACAAGAGGTCCAGGAAACCAGAAACCAGCAAGATTCTGTCGGAGTCGATCATGAACCGTTTTGTGCCATGAACAAAAATGTCATGAAGACAGAAACCATCTTCCCCAAATTTCATGACAGATCCACATAAGCGAAGAGTAAATGATTGAAGATTATAGGTCTCAGAGCTCTCTCTGTTCAAATCACAATCCTTTATCTTTTATTTACAAAGATAAAAGTACACCCCTCTTCCCCCCGATGGTTAACGTTGAAACACTTCTTCTGTGTTTGCATCTCTCTTTTCAGTAGAGGAAACCCACTTTGGGAGCATCAGTCTGAGTCACCACAATGATTTCTCCAGGACTCATCTTGTTCCCAAGTTTTCTGTGTTACGTTGCTTTTGCAGTTGAGAGTAAGTATTTTTTGCTTTTGTTTCTTTTTTTTTTTTAAATAATTCATTATTTTTTATTAAATCATAACTTTGTACATGGATGCCTTTATGGGGTTCAGGGCACTGCTTCGATATACAATGTAAAGTGTTTACATTGAACCAAGTAACACATCCATCACAATTACACTCATTTCTTAATAGTTTTGAAATGTACCATGGCTCATGCACATTAGGTGAGGTCCCCCCAAATGTACCATGGCTCATGCACATTAGGAGGGGTCCCCCCTCCCCTCCCCTCTCTCTTTCCTTCTACTTTATGGACTATAGTTATGTTTTGCCAATAGTATGATTGTGTAGGTGGTTATATATTGATTTCATACTAGTATCGAGTACATTGGATACTTTTTTTCCATTCTTGGGATACTTTACTGAGAAGAATATTTTCCAGCTCCATCCAGGTAAACATAAAAGATGTGAAGTCTCTGTCTTTTTTATGGCTGCATAGTATTCCATGGTGTACATATACCACAGTTTGTTAATCCATTCATGATTTCTCCAGGACTCATCTTGTTCTCAAGTTTTCTGTGCTATATTGCTTTTGCAGTTCAGAGTATTTTTTGCTTTTGAAAAAATAATTTAAAAAAAGTTTTTTTAAATAATTGATACATCCAACTCCCTCATATATGTCAGGGATATATAGTGATAACTTCACATTCTCTTTCAAGTGGCTGCTGAAGAGACTATGTTGATGCTTATTTTTTAATATCACCATGCTTAAAGCTCCTCCATAAGGCATCTAGCTGATTTAAGCCTCAGTGTACTGACCTGCGAAATGGGAATAACAATAGTACTTATTTCAAACAGTTATTGAGGAGATTCGATGAGATATTGCATAGGAAGGACTGGTAAGGCATTTATGGGCAGCATCACATATTTTCATATTTAATTTCATGCTGAATTTAAAAATGCAAGTAGAGATTTCTTAACTCGTCTGCTTTGTCCTCTATTTCAGCCTGTCCCAGCCCAGAAGAATTACCATTTGCCACAGTTATTCCATTCAAAAAGTCCTACCAGTTAGGGGAGGAGATTGTGTACTTCTGCAAGCCAGGCTATGAGTCGCGGGGAGGGTTAAGACAGTTAACCTGCCCCCTCACGGGGGTATGGCCCGTCAACACTCTGAAATGCACACGTGAGTCAGCCCCTTCTCTCCCCTTCACTCTGCTCATTTGGATTCGAGACGTGTTGAGGAGATAACCTACCTTGTTGTGCCCAGTGGAGAGAGATGAGGCGCTTTGGGGGTTTCTCGGTGGGTGAATGGAGCAAGGGCAATCAGTGTTACTTAAAGAAGAGAAGATCATAGCCTGAAACTACGGGAGACTGAAGAAAGAGACCTCATAAAAGCAGAGCCAAACACTACGGAAGTTCAAAGGGTGGTGGAAGTGAAATAAGCCAAGCATAGAAAGAGAAATCTCACATATTCTCACTCATAGGTGGGAGCAACATATTGATCAAATTGATATTGGAGACAGAGAGTGGAATGATGGTTTCCAGGGGCTGGGAAGGGCAGTGGGGAGGAAGAAGAAAGTGGGGATGCCTACTGGGTGCAAAAATATAGGTAGATAGCTAGCTAGAATGAATAATACCTAGAAACTCCGTAGTTGACCACTCTTAACATTGACCGCCTCCTTAAGTCGAACTTATTTTCATAGACCAGACGTGCACCATAGGTAGGTACATGTATCAGTAGAGTAGGCCTAGGTCCTCACACTGACCCTCTCCATAGGTTGACCAATTGAACAGTCTCTTGGGTGGTCAACTTACAGAGGTTCTATTGTACTTGATAGCACAATGAGGTGACTATAGTCAACAGTAAGTTAAGGTATACTTTCAAATAACAAAAGGAGTGGAATTGGAATGTTCCTAATACCAAGAAATGATAAATTCCTGAGCTATTAGAGACTCCAATTATCCTGATTTTATTAATTCCTATTGGATGACTGTATCGAAACATCATATGTACCCTATAAAAACCTATGACTATGATGGACCCATAATAACAAAACATTTTTTAAAAATTAAAAAAAATTTTAAATTGTGGTGGAGATACTCTGAAACTGATGCCAAAGAGACATTTGGAAAAACAAAACTTAGGGGATTGTATCTTTGGACTTGGCCTCAAATGAAGGCGGGTAATAGTTACTGAAATGAATATGAATTTCATCTCAATTATGTACATTTTATACATTATATTTACAATAAAATATATTATGTCAGTAATGTAATGCACATCATATAGAAATCACTAGAGCACTATTGTACATGTTTGCTTTTATGGAATCCTCAGCACATGATTCTATGAGATCATGCTAGCACTATTTTTTACAGTCAAATATTGAGCAATGAACCAGCTTGTATTTCTGGCAATTATGTATAAGTCAGGCATTAAAAACAGGTATATGGACCTGTCTGGGCTCTGGTTATTTTGGTTATATGGACATGACTTTTGTCAAAATTGCACATGTTCGTACAAATTGATTTTACTATTTCTTAATCTAAGAAGGATAAACATAATTTTTTTTTTTTTTTTGAGATGGAGCCTCAAGCTGTCGCCCTGGGTAGAGTGCCATGGCATCACAGCTCACAGCAACCTCCAACTCTTGGGCTTAAGTGATTCTCTTTCCTCAGCCTCCCAAGTAGCCTGCCACCACACCCAGCTATTTTTTTTTTTTTTTTTGGTTATTGTTGATGTTGTTGTTTGGCAGGCCCAGGCTGGATTCGAACCTGCCAGCTCTGGCTCATGTGGCTGGTGCCTTAGTCTTACGTTTATGTTTTAAATTAAACATAATTTTTAATTTAAAAAATTATATAACATCATTAGGGAAAATGTTTCCTTAAATCAGAAATAACTCTGGAACGCAAACAGCGTCATATTTTTGTTATTTTCCACGTGTATACTTTTGCATCATTACAGAGAACATATATAGTTTTGTATTTTTCCATTTTCATCAGTGTATCGTAAAAATTGGCCATAATTTACATTTTATTGGCTACATCGTAATTCAAGGGTTGATTTACCATGGTTGATTCAAACAGTCCCCTGATACTGAGCACTTAGATTGTCCAGATTTTATAATTAATGGTAACAACGTAGCAAACACCTCGGCACATGTATCAGTTGTCTTATTTTGAATTGCTTTCTTGGAACTGTTACTAGTAGAGTTGTTGGATCAAAAGATGGAAAGGAGTTTATACATTTCTATTTTCATTAAAAATTCTATGAATAGAAATTTACGTTTTTTTATCTTTAAATCACAGCCAAAGTCTGCCCTTTTGCTGGGATCTTAGAAAATGGAGCAGTACGCTATACAAGTTTTGAATATCCCAACTCAATCAGTTTTTCATGCAACCCCGGGTAAGGACTTTCATGCCACTAAGTAGCTAACAGAGCATGTTTTCTAAATGTCAAGACCGGTCCGTATTTAGTTTCTGGCCTTTAGGTTGGACTTCTGCTGAATGCAAATCCATTTTAGTCCTGTGTTAATCCATACTGCATTGGTGGTGAGGGTGGGGTAAGAAGTGGAGAAACTGCTGAATTACAAAGTCTCCATGATATCTAACTTTTCTGCTTCTGATTAGTTGCTTAGAGAGGTACATCAAAATGTACCAAATGATTGAACCTAGATGATAATTCCCTATAATCTCCAGACCAAATTTTGGCATAAACTTATTTAGAAATAAGACTTGAGCTTTAGTGATGAGGTTAATGTAATTGGCCTATCTGGTAGTGTCTAGAAGAGCCTTCTTTGGAGAAGGTGGGAGTCTGATGGTGTAGAACACCACAGCACCATAGCTCAGGGAAGAAAGCACTCGTGGCTAATCTGCCTTGTGAGCCACGGCACCCTGGGAATTTGTCCATAGCGCATTGGCTATGCTGTAGAGCAAAATTTCACTGAGGATTCTTGTCTGGGATTGGAGATTAAGAAATACTGCACGTGAGAGAGAAATACAGTCTTTTCATTGGAAACCCCAGTTTACAGGTGGGTCTAATAAGAAATGACCTTGAAAAAAAATTGGCTTCAAGGACAGAATGTTATAGTTGCATTGGACATTGTTTTTACACATTCGTGTCAGTAGGCTCTAAGGAAATGAATAGAAGCTGTTACTGCCTTTGATTCACTTTTGTCAACCTGAAGAAGGGATGGCTCTTTGTTTTATGCAATTGACTTAGATCCAACTTAGCCAATTAGTTGGATTTGAACTCCTGGTCCCGAGTAATCCTGCCACCTCGCCCTCCCAGAGTTCTAGGATTATAGGTGTGAGCCACCATGCCCAGCCCAGCCAGCTGGTTGGCGATGAGGTATTTAGGGGTATAGCTTCTACACTCACCACCTACAGAACCTTCTACTGATTGACTTGCAGCATTGGTTGGGGGATTCCATGGGCCTTAGGTGAGTGTTAAGATCTTCAGGAAAAACCAGGTGTGGAGGTGTGCACCCGTAGTCTCAGCTATTTGGGAGGCTGAGGCAGGAGGAACACTTAAGCCTAGGAGTCTGAGACCAGCCAGGGCAACATAGCAAGACTCTGTCTCTAAACAAATGAACAAACAAACGGAAAAACCTCAGAAAAAGAGCACTATAAGATGGGAAAGAAGTCAATGGCATTACCGTGAAACAATACTCAATGGAGGATACATTTGAAACGCCGATGATGGATAATTTTAAAGCTTGATATAATTTTAAAGCATTATATATTTTCATTTTGTAGGTATTATCTGAATGGAACTCACACTGCTACATGCACCGAGGAAGGAAAATGGAGTGAAGAGATTCCTGTCTGTGCTCGTGAGTCTACGGTCCCAGTTATGGGAAGGGTGACCAGTTGGTTTTAACACTGAAAGTCCCATATCCTGGCAATTCCTCGCTTCCAGAAGCCTCTCCGTCCTGGCCCAGTGCGAAGTTTGTTTGCCTTTATGGGGAATGTTCATCCTGATGTAACCAGGGTGCCAGAACCAGGAACACGAGTCGAACACTCATGTGGGTCACAGTAGTTCTTTATTACTAAGAGTCAGAATCCCGGGAAGACAGGGAGATTGTTCTCAAAGACTGCCTTTCTTTGAGTTTCACAGAGTTCTTCCCTCTCCAAAAGTTACTATCTGCAGCTGTGCCTTATTCACCCTCTAATCTCTAGGTGAAGGACTCAGTGTCTGTTACTTTCCCAAGCTGCACGTGTGGTGTTTTTTACGGTGTCAGAACCAGGGGAGGACTGAGTGACGTGACTGATAGGGAACTAGGTAGATCAGTAAGTAACTTTTACAGATAAGGGGTGTTGAGGCTGTTTCTTCTTTTATACTGATAGTGTCCTGCTCTGAAGGGTGGAACAGTCACTTTGGAGTGGCAGAAGGGGAGTATTTTGTTCATGACCACGTTTTGCATCCTCTACCTCCTAGTAATCCCCTTAACCAAGCTAGTCATTTCTAGATTTGTTGACTCACAGTGCTTTGGCAGGAGCTTGGCTATCTGTGGCATTGGTCTGTCAGGAACTGTCACCATTTGACTTGGAGCACTGCTGACAGTGAGATCAAACATCTTCCTCCCCCTCTGGGACCTCATTCATTCATTCACATACTCGGTAAATATGAATTGAGGATCTAACGTACACTGGTTCTTGCTCTCAGCACTGAGGCTTCAAGGCCAAAGGAGAAGGCTCAGTCTTGATGGAGTAAGTCTAGTGCCATGACCTTTATTGGAGGGCAAGAGCCCATGGAAGGGCCTCCTAGGAGCTGGTTGAGATTCCTCCAGAAGGCAAGCAGTCACGTGTGGGCTTTGTTTACATAGAAAGGTGCATTCTTTCGGTTGTTAACTTGTGATTTATATGTCCAAGGAGACCCAAGTGTTACAATAATGGTGACAGTTCTTCAGTGTTTCAGTGAGGTCTATCCCAACAAAAGCCAAGTGGAAAGCAAACCAATTTCAAAGAAGTACTAGGCTAAGAAAAACTGAACAACAACAGCAAGTTTTTTTATGGGTAAATTTAGTACGGTTTTTCACTCCGCAGTAAGGATCACTATGGTTGCTATAGTATTCCTTATTAGCAAATTTATATCAATTATGTACAATCACTTTCTTTTTAGTTATAAGCTGAAAGGCTACTTTAGCTTCGATCTAACCTGAACCAACATTTCCTGCACTTGACTATACATATGAATCACCTGGGCACCTTGTTAAACTGTAGACACTGACTCACACACCTGTGGCCTGAGCTGCTGCGGTTCCAACAAGCTCCCAGGCAGTGCCCACACTGCTAGTATGGACCACACTTAGAGGGTCAAGAATCTAGATAATTCAAGTTAAATCACAATTTGGTCTGCACTATCTTCTACCACATCAATGTAACGTTCCCTGAACTTGTTGAAACTTTGTATTACTGAGGTCAGTGTAACAAGCTACTACTGTGTCTCTGGGTCAGTAAAGCTACTTGCGTAAGCTCTATGCCTACAGAGTCAAAAGTGGGAGGAATTCAGTAGGAAGAAATAAACTGAACTTGTGATGGATCTCAGATTCACAGCTACCACATAGGCGCCAAGTTGCTGTCGCCAGCCCATTATTTCAGGATAGTCCCTCAGCAATGTTTTCCTCCAATCCTGCCTTCCAGAAGCGTCCAAGGTAGCATTTGGATCCAAGATTTATGGAAACCTTACCACTGTGTTATTACAAAAGGCAAATTTATCGTGGCAAGATTGACATTTACTTCATTATTTAGCATTTTAACTCTTTTGGACCTCGGAGTTGAGGATTATATTTTCTTTATTAAATCATCGCTGTGTACATTAATGCAGTCATGGGGTACAATGTGCTGGTTTTATATACAATTTAAAATATTTTCATCAAACTGGTTAACATAGCCTCCATGGCATTTTCTTAGTTATTGTGTTAAAACATTTATATTCTACACTTAGTAAGTCTCACATGTACCCTTGTAAGATGCACCATAGGTGTGGTCCCACCAATTACCCTCCCTCTACCCATTCTCCCCCTCCCCTCCCCTCCCTTTCCCCTTTCCTCATATTCTTGGGCTCTAATTGGGTTATAGCTTTCATAAACATTCAAAGAATGCTACATCCTTGTAGAGGGAGTTGTTTCTGAATGTCGTTTTATAAGCACTCTGTCTTGCAAAGGTAGGTGGTGGAGGGCAGGTTACAACTGGAAAAGGAAATAATCATTTCTATGAAAATAATCGAGACTTTAAATATACTCTTTCCATACAGGAAAAAAAAAACTTAAAGAAGAACTTATGAAAATGCAAAATTTGGTGAAATGCTGGGGAAAAAATAATCAATTGCGGATGCCACATAAGAAAATATAATCCCATGAATAGGATTATATCATTTTCTTAGTTATTGTGTTAAGTCACTTATATTCTACATTTAGTAAGTTTCACGTGTACCCTTGTAAGATGCACCATAGGTGTGGTCCCACCAATTACCCTCCCTCCTCCCATACTCCCACCTCCCCTCTCCTCCCTTTCCCCTTTCCCCATATTCTCGGGCTATAATTGGGTTATAGCTTTCACATACATTCAAAGAATGCTATATCCTTGTAGCATAGTCAATTGTGGATGCCAACAGTCAATAGGAAAATATAATCCTATGAATAGGATTATATTTTCTTATGTGGCATCCACAATTGACTATTTTTTCCCTGGCATTTCACCAAATTTTGCATTTTCTTTGTTTTTTTTTTTTTTTTTTTTAGACAGAGCCTCAAGCTGTCCCCCTGGGTAGAGTTCTGTGGCTTCACAGCTCACAGCAACCTCCAACTCCTGGGCTCCAGCGAGTCTCCTGCCTCCACCTCCCAAGTAGCTGGGACCACAGGCGCCCGCCACAACACCTGGCCATTTTTTGGTTGCAGCCGTCATTGTTGTTTGGCCGGTCCGCGCTGGATTCGAACCCGCCACCTTAGGTGTATGTGGCTGGCGCCTTAGGCACTTGAGCCGCAGGCGCCGAGCCCAAATTTTGCATTTTCAAACATTCATCTTTAAGTTTTTTTTTTCCTTTCTGGAAAGAGTATATTTAAGTACTCGATTATTTTCATAGAAATGATTGCTATTTCCTTTTCCAGTTGTAACCTGCCCTCCACCACCTGTACCTTCCTTTGCAAGACTGAGTGTTTATAAGCCGACATCTGGAAACCACTCCCTCTACAAGGATGTAGCATTCTTTGAATGTATACCACATTATGTGATGCTTGGAAATAGTGCGATTACTTGCACAGAGTATGGAAACTGGACCGAATCACCAGAATGCAAGGGTAAGTGCAATGATAAGACCAAGTGATTATGGTAGTGGAGAATCTTGTTTTTGAAAAGTATTAAAAATTCCAACTATTGTGGAGTGTTTCCAGTTACCTCATATAATAAATTCATAGAGCATCTCCCATGTGCCAGGCAGTGTGCTTGGCGCTGGGGATCCTAGAGTCCTGGCTTCTGCCCCACGGGGATTTTATGTAATGGAATTATGTATCTGGAGCTGCTTAGGAAAGCTTCCCACAGAAAGTGACCCTTGAGATGGGCCTCAGGGGAGGAGTGGAGAATGAGGGGAAGACCCTCCATGCAGGGCACAGCAGGGCCTAAGTCACAGAGGCACAACAAGCAGGATGTATCCAGAGGACGGCTGAATATTTCAGTGGTGCTGGTAAAGAGAACCTGGATTAAATGGGGAAGTCCTAGGAGGTACAGTTCAAAACCAAGCTGCAGTCTGATCATTTTTCTTTCTTTTTTTTTTTTATTTTTAGAAATAGAGTCTCACTTTCTCGCCTTTGGTAGACTGCTATGGAGTTACAGCTCCTGGGCTTAGGCAATTCTCTTACCTCAGCCTCCCGAGCAGCTGGGACTACAGGTGCCCACCACAATGCCCGGCTATTTTTTTGTTGCAGTTTGGCCGGGGCTGGGTTCGAACCCTCTACCCTCGGTATATGGGGCTGGCGCCCTACTCACTGAGCCGCAGGTGCCGTCTCTGATCATTATTAATGTAAACTTTTATGAGCTTTACCTAAATTTAAGAATTTATTTGACTTAAAATATTATAAACACTTCCTCGTTTGGCTTGACTTGTTGTTACTCTTTGAACTGGTCAGCAGCATAACAAGTAAACAAATTATAGAGTTTATCATGCACATAGGAGATAGTTTAAGGATTGTTAATGTCTCCAGTGGTAGATACTGCATATTTTTATTGAATGATTCAAAGCATAAGTGATTTTTAGCCTGCGGGAACTACTAGTAACAATGGTACCTAGCACCCGTTTGGAACTTCACTATGGCCCAGACTCTGGCCTCCTGCTACAAGCAGGGGTGTCACCATCAGAACTGCTGCCTGCAGGCCCCATGCAGATTTTGAGAGGACTTTTTTTGCTTATCTGTGATATTAGGAAAAATATGCTCAGATCTTATTTTCGCTAATCAGCTTCTGTTAGTACTTGTGTATTTAACGTGTGGCCTAAGACAACAGTTGCTTCTTCTAATTTTCAGCAGAGAAAAAAAAAAGGTGGACACTGTCATCTGATTTAATTCTCCTAAGTCCTCAGGAAATTCTTTTTTTCCTTTTTTCACCCCTTCACTTAGCTGTATCAGTGGTTGATCTTTTGTGACATTTTTTCCCTCTCTGCTTCTCCATACAAGGACCCTTTTTTTCCTGAAAGTTTCCTATGTCATGACACCCACAAATGCTTCAGCATAAATGTACTAAGGACAGAGACATTCTATATGATCAGTGTACATAAGCCATTAAATGTGTTTTGAGTTATTAATCATACTAATTTAAATAATTATAGTAGTATAAACCATTAACAATAATATCATGCAACATTTATTTCAGATGCAAATTTTACAATTGACCCCAAAGTATTTTTTTTTTAATACATGTGTTTTATTTTAGGCAGGATATAATTAAGAATAACTTTTATTTAGTTATTCATGTCTCTTTAGTTTTCTTTAATGAAGAATAACCCCTGGCCTTCTTTGGTTGTTTTTCATTGACATTTTTGAAGAGTACAGGTTAGTTGTTTTATATTATAGAATGTTCTATCATTTGAATTTGGTTGCTTATTTACTTGTGATTAGATTCCAGTTAGATATTTATGTTAAGAATACATTTTGTGGCCAGACGCTGTGGCTCACTCCTGTAATACTAGCACTTTGGGGGGCCAAAGCAAGAGGCTCATCTGAGACCAGGAGTTAGAGGCTGTAGTGAGCTATGATGATGCCACTCCATTCTAGGCCAGGCAGCAGAGCAAGACCCTGTCTCAAAAACAAAAAACAAACACAAAGTCCCCCAAAGGAGGCATTTTGTCACATCAGGCGGCACAGATCTCCTTTGGCAAAGGCACCTCTTTTTCTTTGGAACGAGGAAGCCACCTGTGGATAGTGTTTGGAAACCACCTGAATGTCCCGTCTGTAGACGTAATCGTAGGAGCCACTGACTCTATCAGTTATAACAGTGGCAGCTGCAAAATGGTGACTTGTATTTCTTTTTACATCTATTTGCTGGCTTTCCTTAACACAGAAAAGCTTTCTCTCCATCCACTTTTTTTTTTAGTATTTGTGTAGGTGCATGAATTCTTTTTTATTCAGGGTATGGCAGACCCAAAATTGAGCCAAGCAGTCCAACTCTGGTGCTCTTAACTGCCTCCTTAAGGTACTTGCTAAGAACGTCATGCTCCTTGCTACAGCCTGGCTTTCTTGTGCTGTGGGAGACAAGGATACAGGTTTGGGGCTCTACTGATGAGTCTGTTGAGGATATCAGGAAGCAGCACCACGTTCCTCTGACATATTTCATGCTGGCTTCTTGCATAATTTGAAAACAACAATAGCAATTAGGTTTACTATTTTAAAACCAAATGATGGTGTGCTAAGTGTGCAGGGGAGGAGGGTAGAGTCTTTGGTTTTTAATTTCATGGTTTGTTTTTCTTCTTTCAAAACCATCATCATAGATTGCGTGGAGATGAACCTATTGATAAATAATGCCTTAAGATTATATGTCAAAGCCCAAAGGATTTAGCAGAGCGTCATTAATTTGCTTTCAAAGCCTTGTTCTTTTTAAACATCCGAGGTGCCGTGAGAATAAGGGGGGGGGGCAGAATTAGGCATAAAGTACAGAGAAATTACATTAGTCGTAGGAACCCCCAGTGGTTGAGCGGTGAGATGGAGACAAGAATGTAATCCTTCTGTAACACGGGGGCAGCACTACTACTTCTTACTAATATATGTCTCATTGAATAAACTCTTTAGAAGTAAAATGCCCGTTCCCATCAAGACCAAACCACGGATATGTGAACTATCCTTCAAAACTAACACTTTACTATAAGGACAGAGCCACATTTGGTTGCCACAATACATACGTCCTGGAGGGCCCAGAAGAAGTAGAATGCACCAGACACGGGAACTGGTCTGCACAGCCAAGTTGTAAAGGTATGTGAACATAGACGAGGCCCTGCCAGATCTCTGCATTTATCCAGCAGGCTGCCTCCACTTGCCATTTTCTCCTTGCAGTCACTGCCACCATTTGCTGCTCAGACATGCTTCACAGCTTTGGGCATGAGAAAGACGTTAGCACTCAGATGTACAGAGAGAAGCCTCATGCTTAGAAAGCTCGCATGACATTGAACTGCACAAAATAAGCAGCTCCTCCAGAAGCCTTGAGACTGTGATAGAAAATGTGAGCTTTCTAGATTTGCTTTTAAGTCTTTGCCCAGGAGTATCCTGTTTTGTGTCTTTGTTCTGTCTAGCAAAGGCTCTTTTGTTTTTTTTTCTTTACAAAAACTATCCACACATTCAAGCTAGTTCAAGCAAATTGGGGACTTGGGGATTATTATAAAGTGGCAACAGGCCATGCCATGGGCACTGAAGATGAGGAAATGAAATGAGACTCTGAGGACTGGAACCGAAAGTCAGGATCTAATGCTACTCTTCGATAGCTCAGTGTCGCTCTGCTTACTCATGTTGGACATGGCTTGACGCTACTGCAGGAGTTCTCAGCGAAAGGACTTGTCATCAGTTAGCATCTTTTCCCTGAGATCCTGGTTTCTTTTGAGTTAGGCCTCTACCTTTAATCGGTAAGTTTCATGCATGTGTGAAGAATCGCTACCTGGCCCTGTAACTCTGCTGGGGTTTCTATGAGATAGATAGTTCAAGTAGAAAGAGGAAATTTGGCACAGTGGCCAAAATAACTGGCATCGTAAGTTGGTGTGTCCTAGAAGCAGAGCCTCAGGCAGGAATTCGAGTGCAACTCATTTACTAAGTGAGTGTCTCAGGAGAAAGAGAGTCAAACAGGTAGGACAGGGTAGGACCTTCCTTCTCAAATGTCCTTCTGCATCAGGGTCACCTGGAGAGCTTGTTTAAATCGAAGATTTGGGGGCTTCGCCCTCAGAGTTCCTGGTTCTGGGATGGGACTGAGAATTTGCGTTTCTGCCCAGTTCCCGGGAGATGTTGCCGCTGCTGATCCAAGGACTATGTTTTGAATAAGGTTGTGGTCTCAGTTTAGAGATCAACTTCTGTAGATCCCCCCGGGAGCTTAGGAGTATGAATTCTACCCAGGAGTTAGTTCCACCAAGAGGCAAGGGGAGCTGCTTTTTATATGCCCTGGTTAGTCAATCACTGGCTAGGAGCTGCTCCCTTCCCTGACCTTGGGGTGAGGGGTGCTGGTAGGGGTGGGGTTTGCATAACCTCCTGAGAAAGTGACTCCATTATGGCTGAAGGCGATTTTTTTTTTTTTTTTAGAGAAAGGACGTTTGTGAACTTAGGGTGGCTGGCTAATGGCCAGCCACAGCAGGTCAGTAAATGGGATCTGAGTAGTGCTGGCTTACATGATCGGCAATATCTCACCAAAGCTGAGAATCTGATGTTTCTGTTCTGACCTTCTCATGTGGCTACTGCAGGGGAAGAAAAGGGCATCTTGGAAGCCATGAGTGATGGTTCTATGGGTAGAGAAGTGCTATTAGCAATCCTGTTGATATTACTTACCATGTCCTTCCTTGGATTCTTCTGACCTTGACCAATTTGTACATGTCCACCCATCTACTGTTTCCAATGCTATATTCTCTCTAGGAAAGATTTACCGAACTGTTACGTTTTAACTACAAACATTCTCTCTTTCAGCATCTTGTCAATTACCTGTTAAAAGAGCCACTGTTCTATATGATGGAGAGAGAGTCAAGCTCCAGGAGAAATTTAGGAATGGAATGATGCACGGTGACGTAGTTTCTTTCTTCTGCAAAAATAAGGAAAAGAAATGCAGCTATATAGAGCCTGCTCAGTGTATTGACGGCACTGTGTCCATCCCCAAATGCTTCAAGGGTAAGCCTACATCAGCGTTTTTAGTGAGAACTCCCACTTGCTGCTCACTGCAGTCGACATTTGTGTTATGCAATGACAGTCAGAAATCAGTTGACCACTGGATTTTTGAAAAGAAGAGTGATAGGGAGAAAAAGCCAGATGAAGGAGTAGAGTGTCCTCCCCACTGGCATTTTCCTTTCCAATTCTTTCCCTCAAAACTCAGGGTTATGGTTTTACTCCACGACTGTTGAGATGAATTATGCCAGCTCGTGCAACTCCAGTTTAAACTTGAATAGTAATACGGAAACAAATCTTAAATGATAAACATATTTACTGCTTCTTTGTCCTCAATTACAAAGAGCTCTCACCCCAAATCACAAGGCAACACATGGTCATGGTAATTGGTCTTTAGACCAGAGTTGGAGAAGTATCTATTAGAACAAAGTATTCATTGGAGCAAAATATGGAAGGAAGATGATACTATGTTTGTGCAAAATAAAGACATGCACAATGGCCTGCATTTGGAGCTGCTAACCTTTTAAGATTACAGGTTTAAATGTCTTTATTGCTAGGAAGGAAGAACAACCTAAAGGCTACTAGGTTTGGAAAGGGTCCAAAAATGTTGACAATCCTGTAGCAACAACTCAGACGGTTGGGGTGGGGGCAGGAGGGAGCAGACAGAGCCAGGAAAAGAGGGTGCTGAGAAATATCCAGTTAGACGGAGAGAGGGGAATGATCACTGGTTAATAACCACCTCGTGGGGGTGTATTGATTATTAGAAATATGCATGACGGCTCGGTGCCTATAGCTCAACCGGCTAAGGCGCCAGCCACGTACACCTAAGGTGGCGGGTTCGAATCCCCAGCCCGGACCCGCC